CCTTCATCCCCGCACAGCACTTCTCTCTTTTTCTTATCCCCTCACTTCAGTGTCGTTCAACCAACACAACCCATCAACACTGACCACCGATTTGGTGGCCCTCACGCTCCGACCGGCGACATTCTTTCCAACCAAAGGTAACCATTAAAGGTAAACTCCCACTTTGCTTCCCTTTTCTATTTTTTTTTATTATTTCGATCCCTTATTCTTCCATTTTTTTTTTATTTTTTAAACTACTGCTACTCTAATTCGAAAATAACAAAAAATAATAATAACAGATTCATAGGGGAAGTAAACCTTAGAAATGTAATCTATGTTGTTGTATTGATGCTAGATCCAGTTTTTTTTTTTTACAATCTCTGTGTATCCCTCATCCCCTTCTGTACACTGTAATTTTTATGGGTTATATATTAACCCATTTACATGCTTAAAACAAAAAAAATGATTGTTGTTTGTTTTTCTTGTGAGCTGTAACCGGTATGTGGAGGGACAGCTGGTGGAGTTGGACTGCTGGCAGCTGTTGTGTGGAGCGAAAAACCAGCTGTTGTCGGTGGAAGCTACTGGAATGTGAAGCTACTGGTAGGTGCTAATTGGAGCAGGAAACCAGCTGGATCAAGGTAAAAATGGTGATTACACTCCTTGTGAGAGAACTCGAATTGACCAATCGTTAATTCAACTGCATAATTTGTCCAGCATATTCACAAAATCTCCCCATTTATTCCTGCCCACGATCGCCGGATGATCAAGGTATTTTTTGGGTTTGATTCATTTTTCACTCCTAAGATACGCCTCACCTCCCCCTACTTTCCTCAAGCACATTCGAGTTGAAGAAAATCCTCGACTTATCAAAGTTGATTAATTGCCCCGAACTCATACCATATCTCCCTAACAAGTCTCTAACCTTCGTTGTTGAATAAGTCGTCCCTTTGCCAAAAACTAGACTGTCGTCTACAAACAGCAAATGGGAGATTGATGAAGTATGTTAATTCGAACTCCCAAAAATTCTCCTGTTCTCACAGTTTGCCTAAATAAAGACAATAACTATAGATGAGAAACAAATAGGGCTTAGAGGGTCACCCTGCCTCAGTCCTCTTTGAGGAATAAAACCCTTACCATTAACCCTATTTATTACCACCGAATAGGAGACCGAAGTCACACACAACTTGATAATCGAAATCCAATACCTAAGAAAAACCCATCTGTTCCATCATTGCTCAAAGAAAAGATCATTCAACTATGTCGTACGCCTTGCTCATATTTAATTTTAAAGCAAAATATCCCTTTCGACCCACACGTTTTTGTTGAAACGAGTGGAGCATTTCATAGGCAGCCATTATGTTATCCGTAATCAATCTCCCAGGGACAAAAGCACTTTGAGCCTCATCTATGCACTTATGAAGATGCTTATGAATTCGGGTAATTACCATCTTCGAGATAATTTTATACAAAAAATTGTAGAGGCTTATTGGCTTGAAGTGTGTCAAACGAGAAGGCCCCTCGATCTTCGGTATAAGGACAATGTGAGTATGATTGATGGCCCTTGTATCAAATCTCCCCTGCAAAACTCTTATGCAATAAACCGAAATGTCTGAGCCAATCAAGTTCCAGAAACATTGATAAAAAATAGCTCCCAAGCCATCCTCTCCCGCCGTTTTCAAATGGGATATTGTTGAGTCAATCAAGATGATGAAATAGCCAAGAGGGGTGAATTGGAAAATAAAATTTTTGGTGGAAGCTTGAAATAAAAATAGGAAAATGAACACAAGAATTTTAGAGTTGTTCAATTTTCTAAACCAAAGTCTACATCCACTACCTTATCTATCCACACTAAGGATTTTCACAAATTCACTAATTTATATCAACCTTTGAGTACAAGGTGTAACCTTACAACTCCCTCAAGAATTATATCTCAAATTCTTGAGAACATTCTTTCAAAGAGAAAATTACAAATTTTCAAACTTAGAAAGACCTCACAAAGAAATTGTTTGCAAATTCAAGAACAAAAAGAACACAAAACAAATAGAACAATTAAGTATAATAGTGTTCTTTGAAAGCAAAAATAATATTGAAGAATGTTGAATTTGATTTTGGCTGAATATGGTTGCTTTGACTTTCTTTTTGATTTCTTATCTTTACATATGGTTTGAAATCTTATTTTTTTTATATCATCTCATTCAATTCTAATTGTATGAGTTGTTGTGGGAGTTAATAGAGCTGTTGGGATGAAGTTTCCCATAATAAATGCTGCCCAGACTCCTTGAGTATCGATACTTAGGCTTAGAGTATCGATAATGCCCACTAAAATAATTGTTTTGGGCTGAACTACTTATTTATAGACCTAAAATATAACTTTTAAAAATTATATTTTTGGGTTCGTGAACTTTTACAAAGTTTATACTTTAGCCACCAAGCTTTCAAAATTTATATTTTAGTCACTAGTCAAAATTTGGGGTATTACACATAGTATCGGTACTGCATGGTTTAAAATCAATTTTTGATTCAATTAAGGTTTGAAACCCTTTGTAAAATTGTCTAAAAATTATATTTAGTATCTAACTTAAATTTTCAAAACAAGTACAGAGTAAAAAATTGAATTTTTGACCTTGAAGAGGATTTCAATATTTGAAAGATTTAATCGAAAATAAACTTGAAAATCAAATCGAAAATAATCTTAAAATTTCTTAAAAATTATTCATTTTTGGTATATCAAAATACAAAGCATGGTTCAACAGACATTGTCTTCACTGTATTATTCACCTCATCGTAAGACCACTCTTTCAATGAAGAATTGCTTGTCTCATCATCAATGCACTGAAACACACCCTGCAAAATTGAATCATCGGCATGGAAAAACACGTCGATAAGAGATTCTAAAAATACTCTCTCGCCACCCTCTCAAGTCCTACCTCCCCCTCAATTCGACTTCCATCATCCATCAACAGGGTATCAATTTTGTTTCTCTTCTTTCTCTGAGTGGCGAATCGGTGAAAAAAAAAATTGGTATTATTATCACCATTCTTGATCCAATTAGCACGAGCTCGTTGTTCCCAATAAATATCTTTCTTATCCGCTCAATATTTATCGCTAATTTCGTCTCAAGAACATCCCCTAAAACATCGTCCGTCGGAGTCATCTCCATCAAGTCAGCCAACCCGTTTTGTATGTACAGTCTCATTATCCATTTCTCATGACAAATACGTTAACACCATTTATCTAACCCCTTAGATACATGCCTCAGCTTCTCTGGCACAAGACCTGTAGCTTCCGCCCACAACCTTGACACTTTTTCACAAGAGCTTTCAAGGAGCCACGAAGCCTCAACACGAAAATGCCATCTATAGTTAAGCCTTCCACTCTCCAAAGTATTTAACAGCAGAGGACAATGATCTGAAAACGAATGCGCAATATGCTGCAAAGTAAAATCTGGAAATAAATTCAACCACCTCTATACCATTCATAAAGCCACACGAACCTCGAACTCTACTCATACGTGAACTTTGTAATTTCGTTTCCATGAAGAAAGCTACAGAGGGGCTAATTTGTCTTAGCAAATACTGGAGACGACGAACCGTCCGCGGTTGCCCCAAACCCCGGACGTTCCAACTTATGATTTTCATTGCTTCCGGCCGGCCTGGGGTAACAGGCCTGCCGATTTCTTGTTGTTTCCTACAAGTGTCATCCCACCTCCTTATCTTGTTAAGTTTTTTTTTGGGTATTCTTTTATTAGATCTTATCGTATCCATCGTCAAATAAAGTTGGTGAAATAATCGGATTCAACATTAACAGTTGTACAGTATGGTGTTAATTTGCGTAAACAATAAAAGAGTCAAGCTCAAAATATTTAAGAAATTAAACCAAATTATCGTGTTGGGTTTAGTTTGTGAAATTACCCCCATTCCCTTCAAATATTAGGTTTCTTGTCGTCAATATTAAAATTACATTTCTTCGCCTGTTATCAATTGATTTTATATTTATCTAAAAAATAATTAATTTAGATTCGATGTCTAATACAGTATGAATGGCCAAGTTTAATTTATCAAAAAAAAAATAGCTAAAGTCACGCACATTAGATTCCAAAACAAATGCAAAAACACACCCACAAAGTTCTAAAATACAAACAAACAAAGTTCCTCTTAAAATACATACTAATAAATTGAGAAAAAGAATTCCCCATTTAATGACGTTCCGAATTTATTTCTCTCAAATAGAACAATGTATAAAATACATAATACAAAATATACGGAACACTTGGCGTCTTCATGATACATGCAACACTTGGTGTCTTCATGAAGATGAATGGAACATTCATAGAAATGCATGATTATGTATGTACACACGAACAATGCAGAGAAAAATAAGAAAAAACGTTAAATCTTTTATACGTGTTTATGAAGACACCAAATGTTTTATAATCTTTCATAGATACCGTTCATTTCCCTCTATTCCAGAGAATAGTTTTGATGGAACTATATATGGAGAATTGTTTTTTCCCATAACAATATTAAAGTGATTTATCATCACGTGAGCAAGTTATTGAGATTTTACTCGACTGGCATTGTTTTGTAGGAAGGAATATGCTGGCATCTGAACAGAATTTTCGTGACTATGGATGGGTTGCTGACCCCGCCGGGGTAAGGGGGGGGAGTGTTAAAAAAGCCAGACAATGCGGGCGACAATACACGGAATTTGGGAATCTAATGTTTCTGCATTGCAACCGACACAACATGAACTCCAAGCACACGTCCGACAAGCCACCGCCTTAAAAATGGGACCATTCTCTGTCTTTATGCCTTTCTACATCTCTCTAATACATAGTAGTTGACTATTCAATAGATCATTTAATTATAAAAAAATATGTACCCGACAGGAACCAGAAATCAACCAAGTCTAGGCCCCAAGGACAGAGCGGATGAGGTCTTCAAGCAAAAACGATGATGTGATGAACGTGATAAACTCTACTTCCCTACCCTCTCCTGTTGTTTTCAGATCATTTTCAAAGATTGAACAACATAACACAGAAATCCTTCTCAAAGGAGATTAAAAAGAAGCACGGAGGAAGAGAAATGAAAGGTGAACAAATGTTTGTGTCCTTGCCAGTTCCTGGATACGAATTGTACATAAGACTTCATACAATCACCCCATCCTATACTGATTCTAGAAAGCGAAGTTACCAGATACCCGGCTAAGAGCTGTATTTGCTTAACATGTCACTTTCTCGTTTATTCACATGCCAATTTGGTGTCGAAGCTGCTCAAACAAATTGCAAACGCCTGGAATGCAGAGAGTGGATATCTGTAATCCATGGTAAACATGTCCTTGCCAACTTTACCAAACTGGAGAATTATCTTATCATGGTCGGGTTGCGCTGGCTGTGATGGGGTTGGTGCACCAGCTGCTGGTTGGTTTGCAGCGATCAGCTGAAAGTTCTTGACTGATGCAACTGTAACCCTTCCTCGAAAGTTCAGGCACCAACACTGTAACTGCTCATGCCATCTTGGTTGTTTGTTCCGTAGAATCAATGCTCTTTCCTTTCCTTCATCCTCTTCATCACGGGTTCCAACAATATCTGAGAATCTGGCACTACTAAACTCAGATGAGCTGTCAATAGCCTTTGAGAAAGAGATGCTTCGAAATGAGTCTTCAAGGGATCGGGGCAGAAGCTCCCGCTGGCCAGGGACAATGCCACCTGGCTCAAGGGCTGAAGCAGGAATTGTGTACATACTGCAGTGCATCCTGCGAGGTCCCCTAGTACCTAGCACATTCAGCTCATAGTAGACCTGGGCAATGTTGTAGCTACCGGTGGGAACCTTTGGAGAGACTTTCTTTGAATAGAACCTTCGGCTTCGACCAGGTGGTGAAAGCTGAGCATTGTTGTATGGAGGCTGAGTGTCATAAATTATGAATTTGGTACCAAGAAAATTAGACCTGAAGACGAAAAATTAGCTTTAGGGTGTTCTTATTTGAAAAGTTAACGAATATGAAAAAATTAAGATAGAAAACCGGTTCAATGGTACATACTTTGCACTTACATTATGCATCAAAATACCAGTCTCACAAACATACATTTACAACCTAACAAATAATGTCAACAACAAACAAACTAGAGAGCATTTCCAGGAGAATATTATAAACTGTTTCGTTTCTCAGGCACCTAACTTATAATATAAAATATAATACAACAGGTAGTTTAGCACATTTTGCATTCAAAGCCTGATAAAATAATAGATAGCTAGAGGAACCAGTAACCGTACCTAAGTTTTCCAATGTATTTGCTGCTAGATCTCGATATAGTATCTGCATCCATAGAGATTACATACTCCGTGCAAGTAGTTCTACGGGTCCGTTTTGCAGAAAGAAGAAACTTCCCATTTTCAACAAGCAAAGCTGCAAAGGGAAATATACCAAAGATTAGGGTCACACACCAAAATATAAATGGTAAATAGAAAGCAAGAAATTATATCTCCACAGGAACGATGGTCAGAAAAGCATGAAAGACAAATAATACCATGATAATGTTCTATATATAACTAGTTGGAATTAAGGAGATAGAATTAGAGAAATGGTTCACCTTAGTGCAAAGGAAATTAAAAAAAGGATTATGGTCCCAAGCTACCATTGAGCAAAGATGACTGACAAAACCTTATTTAATTGCATGAAGACACGTGTTGAAGTTCAACTTATTCCAGCAACAAAATGACATTAGAGCCCATTCCAATTTATTCGTGTATTATTAGACATTTAAAGTAGACAACTTGCTATAAACTCGACCATAACAATTCTATTTGTGTAACACAGCTAAGCCACTGGTCATAGAGTACAATAACAGAAAATCCACCCATACACAGATGACATTTATACTTGGAACCAAGCTAATTAACTCAAAACTGCTCAACTATTAGAATTACTATTTACTAGCAGAAAATATTCTGTTGTCAAAAAAAAATCCTAACTAGACTAGAGGGATCAACAAGATAATCAAATGAAAGCAGAATTACAAGGTTACTAGTTACTACTTACTAATAGCCGAGAAGTGTTTATGGCAACTTCTAGGAAAAGACTTTGCATCCTACTACAAAATATATTTATTGCATATTACAACAGTTTCTGTTAGAAGACCTTCCAGAGCGAACAGAGGGAGAATTATTGCAAATCAAAGAATTAATATTGCAATTGTGGGATGCTTTTTACAGCTATATTAGCATCCAAAGAAACAAGAGAAACTTAATTTATATAATAACAAACATTTTTTCACTGTGCTGAACTTAAAATTATCACAATAGACATTAGTGATAGCAATAAACTAGTGGTATTGCCTAAGGACACCCGAGTAACAGGTAAAAACACCTGAGAAATGAAGGCCGTAAGTCTCATGACCAAGCCAGTGATTTTAAAGGACGGGACTGAAAGAGTAGCTTACCAGGACTAAGGCAAAGGAAAAGATGATAAGTTAAATTAGATTTGTCTCTCTTAATGAAGCATTGAATAGTTCCATCCCTATGCCCAGGCTGTGATTAATTAGCAAGTGAAAACATTGTCAGTTACCACTATATATAAATGAAAATTGGACTGCAAAAGTTAAAACACATATGCAAACGTATGTTATTACCAAGACAAAGGATCATAATTGATTAGCGACCTAACCTGCTTCAGAGAAACTGGAAAGGTGATTTTCCCAGAGAACTCAGGACATCTAACAATTTCTTTGCACATTTCTCTCCATGACCTGCATACTGCAGCACAAGCAACAACATGCTTGCGAGCAGGCCACGTGCTCTCACTCGCTTCCAATCTCTTTATCACATCACGCAACAGCTCTGGGGGAAGGCTTGCCCAGCGGCTATTCTGGATAACCACAGTTTCATCATGAAACTCAAGCACTGAACCCTGAGATTTTCCCCTATGATGACCAGGTAACCTCACCTCAAAACTACGCCTAGATAAGCTCCCGAGAGCATCCCTCACGTCGTTAACTATACTACGGAACGACATTTACTCTTAGAACCAACAAAGAACCCCAAAAGAATTATTTTATCCTCCAAAATAGTTCGCTTAAATTACAGTTACGATGCAGAACAGCCACAAGCATGCAGCAGCTGCAAAATCAAAGCGCAAACAGCTTAACTTTAAAAAAAATCGAGACTGACAAAACTCTTGATGAGAAAGTAAGAAATGGGGAGAACATGAAAGAGGGGGGGAAATCTCAAAGCAAGAAAAGAAGATTCTCATAAAAGAAAAAGCTCAATCAAAATGGACCCAATAAAAAGCAACTAAAATACCTAAATCGGAAACTATCATTTTGGCGAGGTTTTAAAAACCCTAATCTCACAAAACAGATGTGTAAAACTCATAGTTACTCTTAATTGCAAATCTTAGTTTCCGTGTCCTTCCTATACAGCCTTTATTCAAACTGATAATCTGAAAACTCGAAAGTAACAGAAATACCAAAAATTAACCCTTAATAATCCTTAAAAATAAGCACCAAAATTGGCAAAAGTAATTTATAATAAAATCTAACCTTCATCAAAGTAACTGAAGCTAAGAACAAGTTAAACCTAAGCAAAGGTCAACTCTTGTTTTTCACCTCTGAGCGTCGAGGAAGGAAATATGAGACCCTTTTTGTAAATTGAAGAAATAGGAAAAACTTAAAGCTCGAATTTAATTCTTACACTCCAAAGTATACGAAAACCACAAAAAAATCGAGAAATTAACATAAGAATAAACGTAGAGTTTCTTTATGCGCCGAAAAGAAAACTATTGAATAAAAAAAAAGGAATGGATCAAATCACCGGAAGCAAGGAAAAAAAAGTTTAAGAAAAAAAATCAGATTTAGAAACTTTTGGAAGAATGATAAAATGAAGGGACTTGATAAACTTGAAGGAAGCATGAATTTCTCTTTTCTACTTTGGGAAGCTCTTTTTTTTTCTTTCTCGAGAAACAAACAAAGAAGCAAAATACGAAGAGAAATTTGAGATCTTACAGGGAAATGAAAATCACAATCTAGCAGAGCTCACCATCAATGTATCCTTTCTCTCTCTTCAGTGTCAGGTCATCAAACCACTTTGTACCACGCGCTTTCTCTCTCTGTTGAAAAACAAAACCACGGACTCCAAATTCTTCTTAAATCTAGTTTACCAAACCTACTTTTAAAAAAAGTTTTTTATAGTAAAATTATGAGTTAATTGTTATATTTTTCTAAACTATAACTCTTATTTTAAATTGATCTTATTTTTTTAATATTTTAATTTTATTCTTAAATTATAAATCTCTTTCTAAATTATTCTTTAAAATATTATAATTTCATCTCTAAACTATGATTATCTTTATAAATTGGTTCCTAAACTTTTGAGTGTTCCAATTTCAATTCTAAACTTTAAAACTTTTGAATGTTCAAAAAATTTAGCAACTAATTTAGAATGAAGATCATATTTGGGGATGAAATTAAAATGTTCAAAAGTTTGATGACTAATTTAGAATGATAATCATAATTTAAGGATGAAATTAAAACTTTAAAAGTTGAGGGACTAATTTAAAAAGAGGATCATACTTTGATGATATGTGATGTAATTGACTTTAAAATTATGAGCTAAATTATTCAAATATCACTGTGATTATAAATGAGATGAGACAGGTTGTGAGTTGCTCGGGTTTGATTCAATTCAAGTTTGATCAACATTTGATTTGAATGAATTAAATTATTCCAAGAGTAAAGGTTGTGGGATTCAAACTTGACCTTACAAGTTTAAATTCCTGATTACTAACTACTTGTGTCAATACCCATCGGCAATCAGAATTCCTCCTTTAATTTAGTTAATCAATTTACAATTAGTATATGTTTTTAATTGTTTTTTTAATTTTAACTTGGAAAAATAAAATTCATTTTCATGACGAAAGAATCTCCAGGAAATTCAAATTAGTGAAAACACGTGAAACAGAGCTCGATCCTTTGATTTTGATATTGTTTTAAGGTGATCCTTCAATAGCCGCAACCTTATTTTTGTTTCCTAAATTTGATGGTGGCATGTTTCACCTTCGCATACAAGTGGCCAAACCATGGTTTTATTTAATTTCTAAAAATATAATTGATCTTATCTGCCCAACAATGTCTGTTTTTTCCCCCTACAACCGTGAGGAACTGAAGATTTAATTAATGATATAATTTATTATTTTTCAACTTGTATATTGTTAAAATAGATTGCTTCTCTCAACTTGTATTTTTCAATTTATTAATAAAATAACTATAATTTCTGGCATCTTATTGTGAAATAAGTACCTGTTTTTACTATTTTTATTTGAATCTATTTTTTATTTTATATCTTAAATATGTACATATCATTGTATTAACATTTCCTGTGATTTATATTAAATTTCATTGGTCAACCCCCTGCATATCCTTCACTATCTCAATAGGAATGGAATAACAGCATTTGAGCTTATTTAAATTTCATCATAGCTAAATAAGTTAGCCCTCTCTCCCCCCCCCCACCTTTTTTTTTTCTTTAGGTTTGTATCATTTTCTATAAATTATTCTTTTTATTTTATTTAGCTGACGATGGTATCAGTTTTTATATTAGTTATTAATCATTAGTTTTTTTAATAAGAATAATTTTATATCTATGATATGTTTTTTTTTATATTAGTGGCACATTCTTCGTCTTATTTCTCAGCCATTTGTAGTTTATCACGACGATCGGCTTTGATTTGCAGTTCTCAATAGTCTTTTAATATCTTAGTCTCATTTTATAGTTCGTTTGAAGATGCAATTAGATTTATTCATATCTATTTTTTCTTTCAAGTTTTTAAATTCTTTTTATGTATGATCTAAAATGACTAGTTTAAGTATTATATGAAAATTTCTAAATTATATATTTAATTTTAGATGATAATTATAAACTTTATTCTTCACTTTTCAATAAGGCAAGCTTGATTCTATATTTAAAAAAAAAAACATCTTAGCTTATTTCATTGAGAGTTGAAGTGTCAACTATTTTAATACTTCATATGACTCGGTAAAAGTGTCTCTTTTTATTTTTAAAATTATATCATTTAAATATCTTATTAGAAAAATCAATAAATAATAACACTCATATTTTTTATTCTTTTATGTCTTCCTCTTTTACACATATCAAAACAAATATTTTAAGCCTATCAATTATTTTTAGATATAATTTTATCATTTCTTTAATCAAATGTATCTCTTAAAAATATATATACAATCAATATAAGACACAAATGATAGGACACATAAATTATTAAATTAGAAAAAAATGATAAAATAATCAAGTTTTATAAATGCTGATCATTGGATGGTTACAATGCCTTGACAATTTGAAGAAAATTGTTATTTAACTTAAAAAAAGTTTGATCATCAAATTGTATCTGTACTATTAATTATTAATTCAACAATTATAAGAAATATAGAACAATTATCTATTTATATTTACATTAATTTAATGTTTAAAACTTATATATAAAGGAGTAGAAAATCGTATTATTTTATTAATAATATTATTTAATTATTTTAAATATTAATGATAAATTTTTAATAAAAATTAAATTAAAGTAAACTGATAAAAGTAGATTTTAAGCGAAAAGCTTTCTCAACATATATTAGTCTCTTAAAGTTAGAAAATATCTAAATAAGTATAACTTGACTTAATTTATATAATTTGAATTTAGTTTTTAATGTGCAAAATCAAATTAGTAACTATAAGAAATAATTAAAACATACAAATTATTATATATTTTAGACTTTTTCCTACGTATTTTGTTATTAAAAAAATGTTTTCGTTCCTTTAAAATTTTATAAATTTAAATTTATTCTCTAACATAAATTTATTTATCCGTCCTTGATGTTAACAATTTAATATGTTGTTCATTACCTCTGAGCTTAAAAAAGAAAATTATTATCCACTTGGATTAAAATGAGGATGCAAAACAGAAGATGAAAGAGCGATAAGGCATTGTTTAAAACCCAAACCAATCATCCCAAAGTGGCAAAGTGGAAGCAACGTAATATTATTTTATCAAATATTAATCAAGAATATGCTTTTCAAAATGGAGATTCCCCGTCACCATACCACCTTTTTTTTTGGCTTAGCGTATCTTTTGTTAATTGATGTAGGATCACATTTTCGCTCACACTTCACTCAATGTTTCATGCTTGCAATTGGACTTAAAATTGCTCGACAAACAGCATCGGCCTAGGTACAAGTGGGCGTGCTTGGTTCAATTGGTGGGGCTTAAAGTTTTCTCTATGTCAATCATAAAATTTCATATTTTAATGTTAGAGAAAATCGCCTCAGTGACCAAAAATACCTTATAATATACGATTTTAACCAATTTTTTTTGGATTTACCAAAATGACCAATAAAATCGCAACGCGATTTAGAAAATCGCAACGGTCAAAAGAAAATCGCAACGCGAGCTTCCAAGTTCGCAACGCGATTTAGGAGAATCGCAATGCGACTGAGAGAATCGCAATGCGACTGAGAGAATCGCAACGCGATTTAGAAAATCGCAACGTTGAAAATAAAATCGCAACGGTCAAAAGAATAGTTAAAAAAATTTTGTTTCTTAAGAATTTTCTCTAAAAAGATAGTATCCGCGCGGACGTGTCGAAGACACGTATTACCACGACCACGACCACGACCACGACCACGACCACGACCACGACCACGACCACGACCACGACCACGACCACGACCACGACCACGACCACGACCACGACCACGAGACGAGACGGCGGCGGCGGCGGCGGCGGCGCGCGAGAGTCCCCCTTGTGCTCTTTCACTCAACAAGGAAGTGCAAAATACAAGCCTTAAATACCATTCCCAATAGTATTTCCAATACTATGTGGGATTGAGCATTACCAACACTTGTTCCAAATATCATTATTCTTCATAAGTTATCATCCATTACAATATGAATTAGTCGTGTTAATGAACCAATATACCTCATTAATATATGGTATTGTTGAACAAAAGAATGATGATGATGATCTTATTAAAGACCATCTAATACGAAAGAATCCAATGCATAACCGATACCTTATTGTGAAACTAATTCACATAGAGGTTATACGTGAAAAAAAAATCTTTTACTTTTATAGTAAATATCTATCTCAATAATTTTAATATAAAAAAATATATTTTTTATTTAATAATAGAATTATTTCATGTATTTATCAAGTTATAATTTTAAATACTTATTAAAATGAATTAATTTATTATCGATAATT